GTCAGGGCCATTTTCGGCTTCACTCGTTTGCTGGATCGAATATCGGCGCCGAATATGAGCGTCAGCCGAATTTCGGCTTCAGCCAGCACCGACCGAATTTAGGCGCCGAATTTAAGCTTCAGAATTTAAGCTTCAGGGGGGGACGAAACCGGGACCCAGTTCCCCGGGTCCCTGATAGGATTCTGTGGCATTGCCTCGCAAGCCAACGTGCCGTGCTCATGTGCGAGAGTTGTCCAATCTGTTGAGAGGTTCCCCCTGAAGGCAACTTGGGAACCACAACTCGTTCGCAGCATTTTGTAGCCTCGAGTGACAGCAGTGTCTTGTCTCGTCTCCCCTTCCTGCAATGATCCAACATGGGCACTCGGTGCTGTCCTTGTTGGTGGGCGCGTCCCTTTTAATTGGCGCGGCGGGACAAGGTGGCGGAGCAGGCGGAGGAGGTGGCGGCGCCGGCGGCGCCCCAGCTCCACCTCCAGGAGGAGGCGGTGTAGCTCCGGCTCCACCTCCAGGAGGAGGCGGTGTAGCTCCGGCTCCTCCTCCAGGAGGCGGTGGAGCAGGCGGAGCAGGCGGAGGCGGCGGGACAGCGTTGACGGAGCCGCACATCACCATCAATGCCGACGAGGAGTGCAGGACAAGCGGCCCCCAGACCATCACCGGTTACATTTACTGCGACAACTACTTTGAGTTTTGGTTCAATGGAGTTCTCGTGAAGCAGGACCCGATGACGTTCACGCCGCACAACGCAGTTGCCGTCTCCTTCGAATGGGATGGCGTGTCCGACAAGGAATACGCGATTATGTGCATGGACTACGCTAGCAGCTCCGGGTACGAGTATGTCGAGACCTCGAACCCGGGACTTGGCGACGGGTCGCTGATGGCGGAGTTTTCGGATGGCACCGCGACTGGCGCTGCCTGGGATGTCTTCGTTCTGACACACGGGCCTACCGACGCGTCCATTGCGGCAGGTTGCAGCAGCAGCAATTTGGCACCATGTGCGGTCGTTTCGTCGGCAGAGCCTGCAGGATGGATGGCTGGTGGCTACCAGGCCAGCGGTGGTTGGGTGTCAGCGACCGAATACAGCGCCGCGCAGGCGGGTTGGGGGAGGACCCCGACTTGGGACGCGACCAGGAATTGCTGTGGTACGGCCACAAGCCCGGCAACTCAGGAAACGCTGACCAACAATGGCGGCTGCTCCGTCAATTACGAAAGCACCAACCCGGACGGGGTCTCTGTTACAGTAACGGAAGATGAGTGCTTGGATCCGAAAGCCTTCTTGTCGGAGACGAGGTCGAAGATGATCTGGTCCTCCGACTTAGAGCGGGACAACAAGCTCCTCTTCCGCATCACCGTGCCCGCCAATCCGGCGACCGTGGTGCAATGCCCTACATGCAGTGCACCAACGGTTGATCAAAGTGCGCAGCGAGTGCGCAAGGAGTTGCGAACGCTGAGCGCAGCAGACTGGAAGAAGGTGACGGACGCCATGTGGATCATGAAGAATACGGCACAGGCAGCTGGTGTCCAAACATATGGCCAGGCGTTCCGCACCTATGACTACTTCCCGACCAAACACGCCGCGGCATATTCTGACGTGCGCGGCGACCAGGCTCACTTCGGCCTGCAGTTCATGACTTGGCACAGCGCCTTTGTCTTGGAATTCGAGAATGCGCTGCTGTCTGTGGACAGCACGATTGGCGCCTTGCCATACTGGGACTCAACAGTGACCTCTCCGTCCATCTTCTCGGAGACCTACTTCGGAAGTGCTCCTGGCACAGGGTCCGACTCTCAAGTTGTCGACGGTGCCTTCCCGAACTGGTGGATCAAGGCGGGCTTTTCCTTGTCAGACTACAACCCAACCGGCAGCTCTCCATACACTGGCTCGCCCGACGGAATGCTGCGGGGGCCCACCAACAACAACGCGAATGCCATGATGACTCGCTACGGCTCGGGCACTTACTCCTACGATGCCAACGAGTTCTGGATCTGCGCGAACTTGGACGGGTTTTGGTATGACTGGTACAAGTGCGTCGAGGGTGATGCGACTGTCAGCGGGAGCCTCCACGGAGGACCACATGGGCAGGTGGGCAGCAGCTCGGGCGGCAACAGCGGCGACTTCGAGGACCCGGTCACATCGCCGAATGATCCCCTCTTCATGTTCCATCATGCAAATGTGGACCGCAGCATGCGTTGGTGGATGCTGAAAAATGCAGCCAAGCGCAGCACGTTCTATGGCTTTCCTGCAGCCCATGCTGAAGGCATTCGCGAGAATACCGGGAAGAGCTACTATGGGCAGAACCTCCTTGACGTGATGTCAAGCACGTGGGGTTTCACCGCTGCCGACCTTGGCTTCTCCGGTGCCTCCGCCGGGTTCCAGACCAACGCGGATCTGCTTTGCCACAATGGTCCTTCCACGAGTGCGTACACCTATGACACGGAGGTGGCATGCTCTGGAGGAAGCACGGCCTGCTCGGCGGTTTGGGGCGATGCCACGACCGGGACGACACAGGCTGGGACGACGACAGAAGCCGGAACGACGACAGAAGCCGGGACAACGACAGCAGCCGGGACAACGACAGCAGCCGGGACGACACAGGCTGGGACGACGACAAAAGCCGGAACGACGACAGAAGCCGTTACAACGACAGCAGCCGGGACAACGACAGCAGCCGGAACGACGACAGAAGCCGGAACGACGACAGAGTCCGGGACGACAGAAGCCAGGACCCGTGTTAGCAACAAAGGCCCCCGACAGCACACAGCAGGCGCGGTCTTGATGTCAGGCCTCTTCGCGGCGCTGGCCGCCAACATTTAGAAATTAAGACATCGTTCACTCGTCAAGGTCATCTTGTCAAGTCGGCGAGAGTGGAGAGACGCTGCTATGGGGCGTATTTCCCTTCCCCGGCTTTTCTGTGCTTTCTATGTTTCCATAGGTGAGCAGCGAAGTTGCCTCACCCATTTGACATGATTTGGGTTTTCCTGAAGCTGGTTCATCCAGTTCTGGGAGGCCCTTGGTGCCCAATGTCGGCGATCGTCGGCGAATCTCCATGATGTGCAGCATCCTGCGAAAACATGCCTGCCAGTCACTGAACCAGCTTGATGTCCTGTCATTTCATTGGCTTCGGCAGTTCCGCAACAGTATCACTCCTTTGAGGCCTTCCTGCTCTGCAGGGCCATTGACAAGGCCGCTCGACCGCTGCATATTCTTCAGCCTCTCTTGATTCTGTTGCCATCATCTGCCTTTGATGCCTAGATGGTCTGTCGGGCTCTTCACAACTGTCCCGAAGAGTAGAAGCGCAGCGAGTGAGTTCCCCATGCACAGCGCCGAAAGCCGCCTAGGGTAGTGCAGTCTTATGGTACATCATCACTGTGAAGCCGTTTCAGTAGTCATATGGTGCTAGCAGCTGCTAGCAGGTCCTCCTGTTCGTCATGTGGTATCCATGCATAAAGCGCATTCAACGCTTGTCTCACTTGACCGCACAAGCAAAGCGATGTAGAGAAAGACGGTGCTCAAGTTGATCAGAGTTCAAGATGACAGATGTTTCTGGCAGGCAGCTCACCGCCAAGCATGAGACGAACAGTTTTTCTGCCACGTTTTACAACCCGTTGCATGAGGCCCTGGCTCATAGGTCACGGCCTTGTAGCCAAGGGCTCCAGCCTAAGACTGCAATGAACTAGATCTGGCCGGGAGCTTGGTTTCTCCATCCGTTGGGAAATTTTGGGCTTGTGGTCCAGTGCTGCTTTAATGGCAGGTTGGTGGGTTTCTCGTTGTTATCAAGGGGTTTAGGGTCTATAGGGTTTCGTGAGAGGTGCCAAGCTCGATTGCGGATTTTGAATCGTTGAGATCTTCCCTGTTCAGGCTTCTCTTCAGCAAGAATTCTAGGTGGTTGTCAGGATTCTGGCTTCCAGATTCACCCGTGGTTGCTCCTCCATCTAGGCGAGCGTCAGAAGATGCCACAAGAATCAGAAGCACTAGCCACTGCATGAATCAAGTCATTCTTTTCGCGGTCTTTAGGATCCGATCTAGTTCAATCCTCGCACGGCCCTCGTAACTACATGCCGGGGTTTGCGGCGCCGTCTCGACCTCCTGGATTCTAGACCCGACAGACGACAGAAGACTTGGCCGTTCCAAAGCAACCCGAAACCCTGAACCGAATAACAGCCTCTATAAACCCTAAACTTTCCTAAACCCTACCGACAACCCTTGGAGGCAGCCGGAAGACCGGGTTTGGGTTTAGGGTGTTGGGGCGTCAGGGCTCGTGGGATTTTGAAGTCTATAGGGCTTAAGGGTAAGCAACCGATCTTGCGCCCAGGTCATCCCGGGCTAACGAAGCTGCCGAAACTGCCAAAGTCTGGGCCTCAACCTTGTCGTTGCAGTTTTGGGTTTACCCGTAGTCTGCGTTGTAGTTCGTTTTTTTGTTTAGCCAATTATGCATTTAGGGTCCTATAAGGTAACCCCAAACGGAACTACAATGGAGACTACAGGTAGGGGTTCAAGGTTTAGGGTGCAGGACTTAGGGTTCCGGGCGTCGAGGAGGGAGTTTCGGGGTTTGGGGGTTCACCCTGGTGGTGCAGACTGCTGGCCGGTAGGGCTGAATCGCGACACCATTTCGAGCTTGCAGTCCTGGGCTCTTAATCCCCGAGTCGCTGATGGATCCCATGACCGCGCCAGGAATGCGAATGCTGAGCGGTTTCTGCCTCCTCTCCGCATGCCTCCTTGCAGGCTTGGGAGATGCCCAACGTCCCAAAGCCCAAAACATCCCGAAATCATCAGTGAGCAGAGCAACGCTGCCAAGTGACAGTGGTCGGTTCTCATACTCCGCATATGATGTTTCGTTCTGCATGTCGCTCATGTACGACTATGAGGACGAACACGACTCAGAGGGCAGTGACAATGCATGAACAGAATGGCCACCATCCTCACAATGGCAAACCCGAAACCCTAAAACAAAAGAGATCGAAATCGCAAACGGATGGGAAGGTATAGACGGAGCGCAGCCCTTCGGCCGAATCCCGTTAGCTCCCGCCCGGACTCATGTTCATACATATATGACATATATATATATATATTTATATTTATATTTATATTTATATTTATATTTATATTTATATTTATATATATACACACACATGTATGTACACGCAGTTTTGTTTCGATGGTGCATATTCTGATTAATACTCTGACTATGATTACCCTGAATCCCAAAAAAACCTTACCACCCAAGTAAAGTCTACCCTTAAGAAAAATAAGCCCTAAACCTCATACCTGAACACGCCAAACACAAGTCCCAAGCCCTGAATGCAGCGACGGTTCCCATCTTCGGGGTGTCGAACCCCGACAACGCAGTACAAGCCCGTATCATCCTAAACGCAGTAAAATCCTAAAAGTCTGTAGGAGTCCTGCAAGGGTTCCTTAAGGCCTTTTCAGGGATCCCCAAGGCGGCTAATGTACCCTTCTAGAGGTATGTACCTACGTAGGAAGCCCCTTGATTAAAGGCTGAAGCAACTACTTTATCGGTACATGGCGCCTTAGCCCTAAACCCTAAACCCTCTAAACCCTATAAACCCTAAACCCTATAAACCCACTAAACCCTCTAAACCCTTTAAACCCTAAACCCTATAAACCCTCTAAGCCCCAAGCCCTAAACCCTATAAGCCCTAAACCCTAAGGAGCCTTAGGGTAAGGGGCCGCTGATGCCAGGTGAGGCCGCCAAGATGAAGGCAAAGTCCTCTGGCAACCTGCAGGAACATCAAAGGGGGCGACCGTGGAGTTTCGTGGGGCGAAAAAGCCGTGTTTAGGGTGTCTATATAAGTTCCTTTGGATGGTCTTAGGGTTTTTGCAGGGGTTGGGTAGGGTGTTGCAGGGTTTTTGGGTTCGGGTTTCAGGGTCCGGATCTTGAGAATCCCTGAAATGAGGTTCTGCAGGGCCTTGGATTGAGGGTTTACTCTAATAATTAAGTTTATAAAGTTTAGGGTTCCCTGAGGTTGTTGGTGATGCTTGGTCTCTCCTGCCCTACAGCCGACTCAGAGCTTGAACCTGAAAGCAGGGCTCGGGCTCTCCCTGCATTCACTGCTTTAGGGTGCAGGGCCTGCATGGAGGGCCTTGAAACTAAGATAGCACTGCATCCCACTTTGTGGTTGAGAATGCAGAGCTGAGGTTTTTTGTTGTGCTAAGAGCTTCTGACGACGGGCGGATCCATGACAGAAGGGTCGCGCCATATGCGAGTCTTCAACTCAGGCTCGGATAATGGAGCCCCTTTATCCCAACATTCTGGGCCACAAAAGCTTCACCAAATAAGTCCTTATAAAGCCTCTTTCCCAGACGTGTCTGGAAGGACTCCATGCTGACGCTCTTGGCCTCTACGGACTCTCGTTCTCAGAAGGCGCCGCGGGGCGATTTCGGGTGTGAGGTTTGTCGGGCTTCGGGTTCAAGAGTTTGGGGTTTTTCGGTTTGGCGTTTGGGGTTTAGGGTTTCATGTTGTTTTTGGGTTGGTCCATTGGTGGGGGTAGTATGAAATACGCATGGTATGTGTGATATGTTCCTTGAGAATCACGCCCACCAGGTCTCAAGCATGGAGAGTATGGTGATGGAGCTCGCCAAGCAGGCCCGCCATTCTGATCGCCACTGAGAGCTGCTGTTTTCAGACCCCAGAGGCTCGAATGTAGCTTGTGCACATTCAAACCCTGGTGCATGGCACCGGCAAGTTGGGTTCAGGGGGCCAGAGTTCAGTCGAGGAATCTAGGGATTCGTGGTGACGCGGTGGGTTGAATTACTATGCAAATCCATGACTATTAGAAATTTTAATGTTATTGGTATTCATCTACATATCAGTATCGTTCAGCTGTCGTTTGGTATTTTCCAGCCCGGAGGCAAAGATGGCCACAGCGGATTCGGGCAACACCTCGGAGCCCCTTCCTTGCAATTTTTTCCACGCTGCTAGCTTTAACCCAAACCGAACTCCTGAACAGGTGGTGTTGGAAGAGATACTTCTGGTTCAAGTCGACTAATTATAGGCCTCAGGAGTTTAGGATACATCATTTGTGGACGAGATTTTGCAGGGATGCTAAGGCGCTATAGCTCATGCCTATTAAACTTGGCCTGAATCCTAACCCTAAGCCCCCTAGGATACTAAGGGGCGGTAGGGGGAGGGTTATCTTGTTTAAGGGGTATTAGAGTAAGGACCCGAGTACTTATACTTATAAGAGGTTGTAGATCACGAAGTAGCAACCGTCCAAAGCGAGGGTTTATGACGGTTTATGCACCACGCATGTGCGAAAGGATGCAGCTAAAGGATTCTTGTGCTCCAGAGGGAAAGGCAGAGCTCTATGGGCATCTGCCGATTACAGCCCCTTGCCTTGCTGGCTTCTGCTTGATGGCTTCTGCTAGTCATGGCTTCCTATGATTGCCTAGACATGTTGCTTCATCCTGCTTTAGAGCCTTGGCTCATTGAGCCACCGCTGAAGAAAAGAACAGGGGCTTCGCAACTCTTGCTCCGAAAGCAAACTGACATGACTGGGGGCATCGGAGTTCTGCAACTTATTAGGATTTTGTGGCAGCGCCGGGACCCGATGGTTCACGTTTCGATGGCAGGTTTTGCTTTTTCTGATATGTACTAAAAAAGGTGTCCGGAAGACTTACCAAATCTTATTCCATGGGGGTCCCTAATATAGCTCTTTATAATCTTTATAGCATTATAGTCTTAGTTGTAGCTATATAAAAATATACCCGAGCACCCGATGCTAACTCTTAAGGGCCCGTCCTCCTGAGGCTCGTCGAGTCCATCAAGCCGGTCCTCCAGGAGTTGTGCACCATCGAAGGGGTTTTTGCAAAGGTTAGGGCTTTAGGGTTTTAGGGTTCAGGGTTTACCTTTTACGGTTTTAGGGTTTAGGGCTTAGGATTTAGGGTTTCGGGTTACCATCAGAGGTAAGAAATGAGAGAGTCTGTAGGGGTCTAGTAGGGGTGACATCAGAGGCTTCAGCTTCATCGCGGGGAACCAGAGACTCCTAACCCCACATAGACCCGGTTTAGGTGTGTCAATGTGTTCATATGTTCGGGTTTAGGGTTTAGGGTTTGCAGGGTTTAGGGTTAGGTATGTAGGGCTCAGAACCCCTTAAACCTTCAAAACCCCATAACCTTTAAGCTCAAAACCTTATAATCCTCCAAGCCAGGGCTACGGCTCCAAATGTCTGCACCACTCCCGGATTTCTGTTGGCATCGGGTTCAGGGTTGTATAAGCTTTTTCGGGTTTTGACAGCCTGCGCCCACCATGCAAGGTCTCAAGTTCGCGAGCTGCGACGGTCTTATCAGGCTTATCATCCTTTCTTACTGCAGGTGAAGGATGCAATTCTCAACCCGAAACCCCGAGGCATCTAAGCACGTAAAGCCTATAAGCCTCACGGCCCCCCCAAGATTTCTGATGAAGCGTGGGAGCAGGACATGCTGTCGAACGTGTTCAAGGCGGCGGACGCGCTGAACGCCAGCTGCGAGGCTCTCCGGTGGATGTCGAGCCTCATACATTCGGGTCTCCGACATGGTGCTGCTTGTTCCCTTAGTTTGACTCACTTCCTGTTTTTTTCGGAATTGAAGAGCTTTAGGCAGTAGTTGGGCCGGGATTTAAACAGGCATGCGCAGGGTTTAGCTCTGATTGTTGCCCCGCCGAGTTTGTCGCCAACAGAACCACATGTTGTTTTGAGTTTAGGGCGTTAATTATTATAAGGTTGTCTTATCCGGAGTTTATTGTTTTAGGGTTTACGCCTTGCAGTGTACTCTGACGTGCGCAGAGATTCGTGCGCACAAGGCGCGGCGTTCGGAAACAGCAGAACAGTGCGTGGGGTTGCCGAATGCTCCACAACTCCCGCAACGCCGATGGCCAACGCGGCAGCACAAACACCGGCCGGCAATGCCTTAACCCTATATGCCCTAAACCCTAAACCCCTAAATCCACTTGGCTCAGTGTCGTTTATGCGGCTATGCTGCGAATGAGCGTCTAAGTCTAGGTTTTGTCTTTGCCCTGGCGGCCCTGCTGTGGAAGGCGTCGCGGCAGAACCTCACCACCTGCCCCCAAGTGACGGCTCGTGGCCCAGTTCGTCTGAGAGTCTGGCGCTGAGGTATTGCAAGACTTTCGCTTCATACATCAAGACTGCCATGCCATATCCTCAAGCTCACTCTTCCGGAGCGCGTATCGAAGTCGTCCAAAAAAATCACAGGAGGACACGCTGTTCCACCCTCCGCACTTCGATGGGAACTGGGAGACTCTGAGGACTATGGGTGTTCAGGGACTCAGGGCTTGCGAACTTCGGATCTTCGATTTTGTAGAGACCAGGAATGTACTTAGAATATATATATATATATATAGATTGATTGATTGATGGATGGATGGATGGATTGATTGATTGTGGTTAAAAATTTTAGTATATATGGGGTATTATATGGTAAAGTAAGAACTTAGATATTATAGTTGAAGGGCTTTCGAAGAGGAAGGGCTTTGACATTGGTTTGACAGCCGCCTCAGTGGGGAATTTGGAGGCCTCACTGCTACGACATGACGAGAGTGGACGAGTCAGTTTCGGGAAGTGGGTACCCGCACCCAGGAGTATGTAGGATAATGGCTCTTGATAGGTTTTGGGCCACTAGTTTACCTGCTTTTTTTTTTTGGAGGGGGGGGGTGGGCGATGTCATGTCATGTTGCTGATAACATCCCCCGAGCAGGGCTGTTCTGTTGTGGTTCACCTTGGACAGGGCTCCTGTTGAAAGCCGCCCTTTTCATGTCGAGCCCGACGCAAAGCCCGACTTGAAGTGCGAGTCTAATCTGTCAACAAGCCCGAGACTGCAATGCCCTCATCCCACCGCTGTGAGCTTGTTGATGAAGACGGCAGAGTTTTTGAGCCAGGAAAAATCACCGCAGCTGTCGGGAGGAGGTCTGATCCCAAAAGCCTGAGGGCCTCTGTGATGACTCAGAACAAAGAACATCACGGCGATGTGCGTAGAGATTTCTATCATGGAATGCGTCTTCCGAGCCTTGTGATGTTTGTGCTTTGTTATGTGGGTTTTGTTTTGGACAGGGCGTGCTGGAGGTTCAACTGCGGATAATTGAGTCCAAACGCATGGCATCCAAGATGGAACTGCGGCTGATGGGCACAACATCTTGAGATTAGTTTTGGCGGGGGTTTATGCTTCAAGGATGGGGAGTCCTTTACCGTCTATGAGCTCACGAATTCTGAACATCTGGCCCAGTTTGAGTTTCGTCGTGAATCCAACACTATCTCACATTTGTTTCGACGCTTAGGTGCCCCTGCTGAAGGCGGAGGCGGGTGGCCAATGGGATTGGGATTGCGATCATGTGATTCAAGTTTTTTCGGTTTTTCGGCAGCAGTAGTAGACAAGATCGCATCAAGCTTCATCATGCATCAAGAAGCCGTGGCCTTGGCCCCTGTATCGTGACCACCGTTGGCCCAGTGAGACTCAGTCCAGGCAGAAACCACCCAGAGGAACCATGGTTACCATAGCAAGACCACATGGAAGAATCTGACCCACTCACCACTATTCACGCGACCTCACGAAATAGAGTCGAAGAGAACCCCACAGCCCACGAAGCCCTACATACAATACAGCACCCGGAGACTCCCAAGATCATGACAAAATCTTTTGCCCGTCGTGCCGGAAATAGGGAAGGAGGAGGAGTGTGCTTGTTCGATGAATCCTCGCATACATAGGACGGGGAAGAAGGCAACAACTCAATTCACCCTAAACCTGAAGCCCCTACTCAATTCCCCCCCCCGCAAGTAGGGAAAGTATGGCCCCAAAGCCTTTAAAACGAGATTCTTCTACATACACTTCTGGGGCTCTGGGGTCCAGGGGCTCAAACCTAGACCCTAAGCTGCCTAAACCCTAAACCCTAGACCAAACCTGGTGGCTACGGTAAGGCCGATCATTGCTCCACCATGCGGGACAACCTGCTGGAGACGGAGGAGGCATGTGGACTTCAGGGCTTGGTACTTTGGGGTTCAAGGTTCCCTCAACCCTACACCCCAAACCCTAAATCCTAAACCCGAAACCCTAAAAACCCTAAATCCTAAATCCTTAAAAAATCCGAAACCCTGAACCCTGTGGGTTTACTTTAGGGAACTCTTGAAGTTTGGAGTGTTTAGGGTTTTAGGGTTTAGGGTAGTGTTGAGGAGTTGAAGCCCGTCTGGTGCCTAGATCTAGCTATTCTTACAGAGAACCCCAACACCCAATAGCAATCAGGCTCATACAAGAAACTCTAAAAGGCCTCACAAAAAAAAAGTATAGCGACCCATTCTTGACCTGTGTCAACAGGGAATCGGTTTCGAGCCCCAACTTGACTTCAATTTTCAAGTCTGGAGGTTGCTGGTCGCTACTCCCCAGTTTATGGCTTACCACAGGCAGTATCCCTATAAGCCTAATGCAGTACTAGTTGCAGGAGTCATGTGGCTTTCATAATGGTTTATGACCCCTCGAACTGTCTCTGACTATGTATTAATTTATAAGGCTAAGTGTAGACATCTCAAAATCAAGATCAATCCGAGGCCCTCTCAAAACCCAAACCCATCAATCCGACAGCATTCTGACATCTTCCCAGGCTGCTGAGTGGGCTTCGGAAGCCTTGCAAAGTACCAAGCATTCCTAAGACGTACCCGCAAGTGCCTGTAAACACCATATCCTACTTCCTACACATGTTCATGCCCTCTGATCACGATTCTGTCCGGCCCTCTAGCAACAACCGCAACAACCCATGTACTGCTCTAACAAACATAGCATATCCCCCAAAACCTACTCCAATTGCTAGCTCCATCATCTCTTCCAAGGTAGTTCGCACAACATGCACCACAAAGCCCTACTCTAGCTCTAGGTATGAAGGCCCTTATACTTTTTCCCGATACATCCTTG